ACGGACTCCTCGCCCCATCCAACCACCCCTTCTCCCTGACCGCCCCTGGAACTCCTACCCCTGACCTCGCCCACCACTGCCCCATCCAACCACCCCTTCTCCCTGACCGCCCCTGGAACTCCTCCTTCCTGACTGCCCCCATTCAACCATCCTGTTCCCTGCCCTCTGACTGCCCTGACCCCTATCCACACCCCTGACTACCACGCCGAACTCCCCTGCCCTCTATCCAACCCCACCTGCTTCCTGCCCCCTTACCGCACTGCCTGGAGCACTGGTGGCGCTAAAGCCGCGCTGCCTGGCTGGAGCTGGGCCACACCACCGCCATCACCACGCAGCACAGAGACCAGTTCAGGCCCCGGCTCTGCATCTGCGCTGCCCCAGGAGCTCACAGCCCCCCCACCCAGAGCATTGCGCTGGCGGCAGAGCGAGCTGAGACTGCGGAGGGGCCGGGGCGAGCCTCCCAGGGCAGGAGCTCAGGGGCTGGGCAGGAGGGTCCCGTGGGCCGGATGTGGCCTGCGGGCCGTAGTTTGCCCACCTCTGCTCTAAGAGGTGGTCATTACAAAACAGGGTTGCGTGATACGAGTGGGGCAGTTTGGTGAAGAAATGCATGTGTTGTTTTTGCTCATGCTGCAGCTGTTTGGTGGATTGTCTTTTCAGCACCTCTTCCCCAGCACTAAAGGCACTATTTTTTCCTTTAAAACACGTTCCATGTGCTTACCTTGGCTTCCAGAGTGTTTAGCCTCTCAGTCATATCAGTTAGTCTGGTGCAGTTCATGCATTCTAGAAAAGAGAAGGGGTACAACAAGTGTTTTATTAATTTATTTGAACAGCTCTTAATCTGCAGTCTCCCGTCACTCTGTGTCCATGCAAACGTGTTGATTTCACAAGACTAAGAAATAATGCTTATGGCACAATTATAGACCAAAAAATTTAAATATTAAACGCCATTGCACAAGTTAGTGGCCACAGCCAGGCTAAACGTAAATGAAATCTACATAAGATCTGAAGCTGCTAAGAGGTTTGGAATGTTCAAATTAGTTCCTGAGATGTAGACATAGGCAGACTGTAGATGAGGAGGTCAATGGTGCATGATAAATAGTCACATGGTTTCACAATGTATTACATGGCTGGCACCAGCACATAGACTACATATACCACCTGCCGCTATCAAATATCTACAGTGTTGCAAGCATACACTGCTCACACTTCAAAAGCTTCTTCGGTTTTGAGAGAGATTGATGATTTTAGGGGCATTCCCCATTTTAAGTACAGGGAATCCCCCTCCACCTGGAAGAAATCCAGCCTCATTTCTATGATTCCATGAAAAAGTGAGACCACTGTATGTACACACACACATTCATCTGGGCCTACTTCAATGTCCATGAAGCCAGTGGAAATATTCTCATTGCCTTCAGCAGATGCTGGGTCAGGCACCAGATCTGAAGCAGCCCTATGTAGCAGTCACAAAGCGATTCATATCTCACTTTACTATACAGGAGCCACTAGATACTTGATGATAACCACCGTTTTCTACTGCGTCCATTCTAAAGAACAAACAGAAACGTAAGGGGCTGCGAGTGTGGTTTATAATGATGGCCTGATACAACTTATCTAAACTTCGTGACTGCATTTACCCCTGGTTTTCATTTCAACAATTTCTTAGAATTTTTGGTTTTGTTTTGCTGAGCAATGCTTTCTGTTGAAACGGTGACTATTTTAAGTGCTCTAAGGCTCTCCTTCCCGCCCCTGGGTGAGCTGGGATCTGGGGAGACTCTGCCCCTAAGGGTAGGGAATGGGGGAGGTCTGAGCCTCTCTCCCTGATCCTGTGTGTGAGTGGGTGTACTAAATGGGGAGAGGGGCAAATGAGAACACCCACTGAGATGAACAAAGCAGTTCACACCCCTCAGAGCTATTGTTTCAGGTGTATCCATGGGGTTCACTTCTTCAGCTGAGAATGTCTTTGGCCAGTGTTTTATCCTCGGTCACCCACTTTCCCACAGGTTGGCAGCAACTCTTTGTTTTACATTACAGGCTACTAGAAAGTCTCCCAGTCCCTCTGGAGAACAGATTAGCTCATTCACATGTGTCAGCTTCTACGATGCAGCAGTTTTAAAAGGAAAAAATGAGCCGAGCAACGTGGAATATTATAGATAAGGTACAGAAACCAGTTGATTGTTATGAATCGGTTGCTACTCTCATATCCCTCATTCCAAAACAAATACAGAAATAAATCTGCAGTTTTCGGCTCACTAAGGGCCTGATCCATTGACGTCCACTGGATTATTATTATTATTTATTACTTGTATTGTGGTAGCATGGAGAAACCTCAGTTATGGAGCAGAACCCCCCGCTGCTAGGTGCTGTATACAACACAGAACAAAAACTGATCCCTGCTCCAAAGAGCTTACAATCTAAGCAGATGCATCAGGTCCTAAGAGCAATGAATCTCCAAACGCACACAAAGCGTCCTAGGAAGTTCTTCCTCTTTGGTCTATCAGTGTCACTGAAATTCTGCAGTGGGATTTTTTAGAGTTGCTTAAACTCCCATTGGCCCCTTAATTTCTAATGGCCACCTGCAAACTGAACATCCGACTCCTCAGGCAGATTTGGTTTCAAGAATTTCATTCCAAGCTAGTACTGAAAGGGACCTACTTTGGAGCTGGTTGTCAACAGGAAATACCTTTTTAATTTTTTCTTCTCAGCAATAAATCTTGGGCAACAAGATTTTTCCCCCTAGAACAAACTGGCTCATGCATATGCAAATGCCTTACGTGTGTTATCACAAAACTGAACAGAATGGGTAAGGCTTGTTTGGTTCGGAACTGTTTGTGGCATGTAAAGCCGGAATGATCTGTGTGTAGATTGGCTACATGCTTTTGATCTTGCTCATCCGCCCAGGAAGAAAAGATTGAACAAATCTATCATTGCACAGAGCCAAAAAGGGTACCAGATGCATTACAGAACAAATAAAATAAAACAAATAAAATAAAAT